TATTCACTGCTCCTTTATCTGGTATATACTACTTTGCATACCACATGCATGTAAAGGGAACTAGCCTGTGGGTAGCATTGTATAAGAACAATGTACCAGCCACTTACACATATGATGAATACAAGAAAGGCTACATGGACCAGGCATCTGGTAGTGCAGTCTTAGAGCTGAAGGAGGGTGACCAGGTATGGGTCCAGATGCCTTCAGATCAGGCAAATGGCCTATATTCTACAGAGTACATCCATTCTTCCTTCTCAGGATTCTTGCTCTGTCCCACATAACCCTATCTTTTCCTTAAAAGATGTTGCTAGATTGGCACCTCAGTGCAGCCCTTAACCTAAAATACCTGCAGCCATTATAGAAACACAAAACCCATAAAATACTCAATATTATTGCCATAGTCTTTATCTGTCTCGCCCTCAACAGCACAAGCGAAACAAAAACTTTGTGAATGAAGTGAGTTTTTAAAGGCAGGGGAAGGAATTTCATACTGTGTTCTTTATTTCAGTGTCCTTCAAATGTGTGTTTTAATTGTGTTTTATGTTTGTGTTTTTTTAAGCTTTTAGCTTATTTTAATTATTATATTGTCATAATTTTATTGTTATTATTTGGTCCATGTCATCATTGTTGTTGTTGTTGTTTATTGGATTCAGACTATTTAGTGCCTTACTTTTTAATGTGCTAGAAACCTTCCCGTGTGACTGCACAACCTGCCCACATGCTCTGACACAAGGACGACATCACCAAACTCTGATGGGGGGAGGGGGAGGTCATCGCTGCAGTCATGTTGCCCTGGTGTGTTATTTAAATCATGAATTGCTAGAATTATATTGAAAAGCCAAAATACAACACAATAAATATAGGCATACATTACAATACCAAAACGAAGTATTTGGTGTGGTGTGTTACTATTAAGTTTTACTGAAATTTTTAGGATTTTAAATTGTTGCTACATAAAAAAAAGTTGTGATTGAACTCAGCAACAGTTGGTTTTAGGGTGAGATATATTTAATGATAGTGAACATATGCACCTGTTCAGGGAGTTTCTCTGCTTCACTATGCATTTAGTAACCTACAAATTTCAAATAATAGGTCTTCCTCTTTCTTGTAATTTAGTTTACATGCAGTTCAGAACAATTAATTCTACAAATAAACATGACCTCACATTTAACGAGGTAGACACCATTAAATTGCCCTTTAAATAGATCAGCACCACCAAGCAAGACCCCTGCATCACCCCCCACCATCATTCTTTAGGACATTGTTAAAAATGTACACAGTCAGTGTTCACAGGCCAGAAAATAGATAGTGTCTATGGACAAATGGACAGTAAGGACACACATACTGCTGATTCAATGGCCTGTTTCCTTCTGTTTTCCTTCTGTTGATCTGGTTTCATCACTATCCCAGGCATACTGTTCACACATTCTAACCATCACATCACTGATTTCTAATGTCATTAAAAACCCTTTCCCTGATTCCAAGGGAACCGTCTGCACTGCCACATTAGAAAAAAAATATAATCCTTTAACAACATGATGCAAAATCCACAAAGATTTTGAAAACCTGAGTCTGCTGAGAAAACAAGGAGGCAAAAGGATAAGTAAACAACAACAACAATTTAATTACGTCCTTCACTGCCAGTTTCTGTGTTGTTTGTGATAGATGTCAGGCAAATAAGAGCAATTTTTAATCATTTGTAGCTCTGAATGACAGGATTTTCTAGTTATTTCTAAATCAAATGTGTCAAAAATTGCTTAACTGCTGAGCTTAGTGTAACATCTGTGGCCAGGATGTTTCAGAACCGGATAATGTCAAAGTGCACGGCTGGAAATGAGAATCAATTTGCCTTTAGTCCATAAATAAGTGAAAGGGTCTGACTGGGGCCTGAAGATTGTGAAATGCAGGTTGTGTAACATTTTAACAAAACCACGCCAGATTTCTGGGAGAGGTGGTAGGTCAGAGGTGTGTTTATTCATTTCTGTTGGATGAAGTATTAAAGATCCACTCTGTGCATGCGTGCACTTGTATGCTTAGTAGGTATACCCTTCAGCCCGTCACTGTGTCACTGCGTGCGTTTGTGTGTGCGGATTTGTCACAATGTTCCCTTGGCGTTCAGGTCCCGAAAACGTTAGCGAGGATAATAATAAACTAAAATTAAGTTACAAAACTGTAGGAACGGCTTACAGTCCCATCAATGTTCCACCAGAAGATTTTGAGTTGTGTTTTTTTGTTTTAAAGAGAATCTTGTAGAAGATTTACTTTACAACACTCTAAAGATGAAAGGTGTAAAGGCGTGCAATAACTACTTTGTGCCAAGTCACGAACCAGCAAATTTTTTTTTAAAAAGACATAAAAAAAGACATACTATGAAATGTACAAAATGTTTATTCACCAGTTGTAGTTACGAATCACAAAAGATAATAAAATCTAGGCAAAACAAAACAAAGGTTGGTGCTTCTATCTAACTTGTGCCGCCCTGACGCTCGTAAACACTGAATTATGACTACCTTACATCATGATGGAAGAATGTCAATGTACACGAGCATGGTGCCAAACATTTAGCCTTCCCATTAGAATGAATGTATAATGTTTGACTGTTTTATGGTGGGTCACAGTGCATAAACAGTAACTCTTCACGTCGCTTTGGAAAATTAGTGTGAGGATAAGGCTTAATCAGTATTTCTATTTCTATGTAATGCACTTACTCTTAGCCCTTTCTGTCTCATAACATGAACACATCGACAACTGCTATGTATCATTGTTGCTATGTGAGTCTACAAAGCAGTCTCGTTATGTACTGTATGTTGCCTTTTATTTTTTTTGAATCACCTCCTCTTTTTCGACACACGGTGAAACGGTGATGAGAGTTACATGCGGCTGTTACGCTCTGTCCTCATGTTTTCTTAGACAATGTCACTTGCTTGCTGAGTTTGCTCTGTGTGCAAATCATTTAACAAGTGTCACTGAGATCCATGTACCGCAAATGTTTTGTTTTTCTTTATTAGGAAAAAAAAGAAAAAAAAATCACAAAAGCCTTGCTTCGGTTCTTAAGGGATATATGTTTGTTTTAGTTTCAGTATACAAACGGCCATTCCCATTTGCACATGAAATTAATGAAGATGTATTTATACATTTATGATAATTTAATAGGGATGCCAAAACTGACCACCGAAGCCTGGGACATATAAATGGTATTTAACAGCATCGATGAGTTAAGAGCATTTACAACTTGTAGTTAGCATTCTAGAGTTGTTTGTGAAGGATTATTTGTATTATTTTCTATTTGTGTAATGTACAATGTATCAACGTATAGTTTTTTTTTGTCTTACAAGGCTATTGTGTGCACTATGCAATAGAATTTGGGTATAAAATGCACTCCTTTTTGATTGAAAATGTTTGTCTGCTTATACAAAATCTACAGTACTTGATTGTATTGATACCACGTCAATAAAAACAAAGAAAAAAATGCCTTGGATGCTGGCGTGAAACTTCATTGACTTTCTGTTGTATGGTTATGTAACAAAGAAAATATATATTAACTGGAATACAGAGGCTACTACTACATCTTAAAAAAAAATCAGTAACACTTAGTAAAAATTCAGTAGCTCGTGTGCGGAGCAATCTGTTGCACGTAAAAGAACTGACACTAGAGGGAGATATACAATTATAAACAGCGTTTCAGGCCTCAGAGAGATGGGTGATTGCATAGTAAGTTTAGGACTGAAAAGAGGAACAGGTAGACTTTTCCTTTTCAGGTCAGCTCGCTGGATGTAGATGGAAGCAACACATATCTTTGCATAAATATTTTGCATGTTGAATATATGGGTTATCACGTAAGCAGAAGAGTATAAATGGATGGATAGATAACTACATTAAATGTGGATAAACAAACATATGAATGAGCTGGCTTTTAATTAAAACAACTAAACTAACTCTGATGCGTGACTGGAGGCGATTCAACAGTCTGTACTTTTCGAAACAAAACGGTTCTTGTAGCCAATCCAAAATGTGCTTAGATAAGAATAAAATCTATTTTTAAAAAACAGCCCATGAGTTCAGGGATAATATGGTGCTATTACTTGCTGGAACTGTCGTCACCATGGTGAGCTGTCATCAGTCAACCGGATTCTTCTTACGTCGTGCTGACGTCAGACCATCCATGCTGCATTCGAGAGATCCCGGTAATTCTGGCGCAGTGACCGCAGATACAACCTGATGCACATACATGTGCTGTTATAGAGAGAAGTAATAGAAGATATGAAAAGTTACCTACACTAAAGCAAAGTGAGGAACGACCTTGAAGCTAATCCCTTCAGACGTTGCCATGCATGTCACTTAAACTTTATTCCAGTTTCCGCTTCCTGATAGTTAAATTGGTGACGAGGAAACACTCAAACAAACAAGAAAAAAAAATGCTAGGATGATCTGGGATACACGCGTCTGTCGTTTAAAGTTTTCCGAGGTTTGCAGATTTCTCAGGTGGCCCTCATTTTGTTGACTATTAATTCGCACTGCCTGGTCGACATTTTTCCGACGGTCCCTGAAGGTCTTGTACAAACTGAGGAGGAGGCTCCTCCCCGACAACAGTTCCCGACCTCCGACGAGATCTCAGGCTGCCACACTAAAGAGGAACAAAAAGGCGATCTGACAGCGCTTTCTGCACTCCCTCCACTTTCTCCGGGATTTCAATGTTCAGCTTGCTCTTTGTAAGTACTCAATGACTAAAAGATCTCAGCAAACCTCTGGGAACTTCTTTCTGCGTTGATTGAATGTAATTCTAGTGCTATAGATCCGCTAGAGCCCACTGAAAAGTTGAGTTCCATATGTTAGGTGATCGCCACACTGCCGGGCAGCCAAAGTAAGTTGCATGAGGAGTCGTCCGAGAATAGTGTCCAGTATGTAGCCACGTTAATGGTAGCTCGCAGAGCAAAGCTTAAGACGGTTTAATCGTGTGCTACAATCGGTGTTGAAAATCCCGTTAAAGGTATGAATGTTCATTCTCACTGCCTCAGACATCCGTGATATCCACACTTGAGTCAATTACCTTTGTCTTGATTGTTGCAGTGCTGCTGGTCTAAAAGATTGCTGCTAAAAGCAAAGTGCGTTAGCTAGCCCGCTAGCTAACATAGCTGCGCTAGCTTGCTATCGCGGCTATGGCTTTTTCCCTAAAGAAGAAAATCGCTGACTAGCATTAGGACTACTAACACGACTATGTCATAGCTTGTGTTTTTCTTTTAGAACAGGGTACGTTTAGTTGTATTCATAACGTGGTGTTTTCTAAACTGACCGTCGTTCGGAATACCACAAGTGCTAGCGCTACCTTAGCGCTACACGGTGCAAGGGTGTACAGGTTACCGTAGAATTTCTTCTGAACAACGTGTATCATATTGGCAATGAATACTTGTGTTAACGTTAACAATTGTGCTGGCTAGTAGTGCTACTGTTATGTGTATAAGATGCTTGAGTTATTTGTAGTTGTGGAAAGCTGCGTGGTAACTATATGGCGACTAAGCTAGCCAGCTGCCTTCCGCCCTTTGTGACAAAATCTTGACCTGCAGTATAGTTCACCCATATGCTAAAGGCCAATTGCCAGGCTGACGGGTTGATTTATTTTTTTTTCTTAAACCGACAAACGATTTGTCATGTCTGTTTGTCGTCGCGGCTACTGGACTGGACTGTCGTGCTCCTTGTCTTTATTGCTTGCTGTCTGGTTGGAGTCGGAAAATTTGCTCGGTTTCGACGAAAAAAGGAGAGAAAAAAAATGGCCAACACTGGAGTTAGGTGGGTCTATAATTTAGCCTCGTCTGGTTTCCTAAAACAGCAAGCGCCCAACCATTTAGCCATGTGGGTTGAAGTGAAATGAGGAAATGCATTTCGGGAGGAAGTTGACTAGAGCAGCTGTGACACTAAAGGCCGCGGCACATTCCCATGCCTCTCAGTTTTCAATTTATGACCTTCCACTGATTTGAGGCTCCCCTCTGGTAGTAAATTCTAGTGGGCGGCTAATACAAGTGAATAGCCATCCTACCAACAGGGCGGATGAGTCAATCAGTAACTGGTGTAACAGGTAAGCTAATTATATACTCCCGATTATGAGTCACTGCAAGGTGACCTGGTTTGCCTGTTGATAGGATGAGATGAGTGATTGCATTCAGGAAAAAAAGCTAAGGGAATGTTGGGACACTACAACAGAAATAATAGAAAGTTGCAGTGAGTAATGTAATCAATAAGGTCTATACTCTTGCTTCATAAAAGGTTAGACTTTCACAACTTCAGTATTGTAATGCTTTGCAGTCTTCAGACTCCACTGGCATTTTATTCTTTGTGGAAGTAGGTCGTTTGAACAGATGACCCGCTTTATTTTGTAGCTAATTGACACATGATGCTCTGGCCAATCTAGAAATAGCAACTCTCACTCAATCTGCTTATATAGCACATCCCTCAGCTAAAGTCAGCCCTATACTGCTTGGGTGGGCACTCATTTTTGTGATCCGACTCTGCAAGGCAAACTTCTATTACCTGTAACTTTTGTAAGCCAAACTTGAATTATCCTTATTTGAGTTTTGCTATTTTCTCAGCTAAATCAAACTTGTTGTTTAAAGACTTAATATGCTGGTTGGTTGCTAATTTATGCCTACTAGGAGCAAAGAAAATGCCCTGTGACAAGATGGGAAGTTCTCAGCCTTGGTTACTGTAACTGTGAAAGGTGAACCCAGTGTGCAGTAACTTGATATCAGCCTACAAAGGAGTGTTACTGGGGGAGAAGAACACCTATGTTGTAGCCTGCTGGCTTTCAGCCCATCAAGCCACAGGGGGGTGACTGAGTGTTGAAAGGTAGAGCAGAGGAGGCCATTCCATACTGACTGCTTAAACACATTTTAAAATTTAGCTACTCTCCCTATCTGTGGTGGGAATGGAACACGACGTTTTTGGTTTTACAATGGGCTCACTCCTATCTTTGGCTGCAGTAGAAGTTGTTTTGAAATTGGTATAAAGTGGCAAGCTAAGATTAGTTGGCCACTGTTTGTGCTACCTCTTTTCAAAGCGATTAAGTGAAGCCCATATGTAGTTACGCATTAGTGGGCACCTTTTTGTGAGTAGCTCGTTTATTGCAAAGTGTGTGGATTAATGAATCATGCAGTGATCGGCACAGTGTTTACTGTTGTTGCCACAGTGTTGGGGTAAAGCAAAGGCGCAGGCTCAGTGGCACTGGCAGTGTTTCACAGATTGACACCTCTCCTAGATTGCTGTTGCAGGGGTTCCCGCTGAAACTATAGCAACAGGTAGGAATAGGATCCTCCTTTGTTTTTTGTGTTTACACCTGCCTTGTTTAGCTACAGCTGTCAGAGCTGCAGTTAACAGGGGAACACGGAGTTCTGTGCCAGAACATGCAATAGTAATATGTGTTATTGTTGTTTGAGCAGCTGTGTGTAGGTGCTTGCTTTCTCAGATTTTAAAAACGGTGCTATTTTTGAAGCAGACAACAAACCCTCTGTTTGCCCATTGCCTAGGTTTTTTTTTTTTTTTTTTTTTTTTTTTTTTTTTTTTTTTTTTTTTGGTGTGTGTGTTACTGGCACCCCCACCCTGTGAGTGCCTCTCGCAAACTAGTGTGTTCATTGTGGCTATAATCTCAAAAAAAGATGGATTTGCTACCATGAGCTAAATTGAGATCATAAGGTGATTTATGGTTCTGTTAGGGGCTGTTGGTTTTTAGTTGAGAAAAAAAAGTTCCTTGATGACAGCATATAAACAAGCGTTAATTCTCATTATTGCTGCACTCTTAGGTCTTCTTTAGCTTTACTTTGTGAGCATTTACTAAGCACCATTGCTCCTTTTGATTTCTTATCAAGAGACACCATATTCCCCGCAGGAGCACTTGTTGCTACCACAGGGATAATTGTTGATATGGCAACAGGCATCCCCCGATGCTGCTGTCAGAAGGCAGTTGGTTTCCAAATGTCAGAAGAATTGATGTTGTGGTGGGATCAGCACCTCCCGGCAAAAATGCGAGCAGAAATTCTCTTTACTGGCTCGGTCTGTTGCTGAGCGTTGGTCTCGGCACAGAAATGGACTTCTAGACAGTCCTGGAAGTTTACTTTTCTTAATGTTGGGTTATTTTCTATTTTTATTTTTTTAAATTGTAAATCTGTCATGAATTGACTCTTGCACATATCAATTATAGCTAAATGAACCCATAAGCCTGGCACACTTGTAAACAAGAACCATTGTGCCTTTAAACAACAAGGCAGTTAACTTCTACAGGAGCAGCTGTCAGTTATTTGCTAGAGTGGAAGTAATTGTTAGCTGGAATGTTGAAGGAACACCTTGTATTTTAACTTGCCTGTTCTTAAGGATGCACCAATTGTGAAAGTCTGTTATTTGTTTACCCATATATGCTAGAGGGGGAAAAAAATCATCACAATCAAAATGAAATGAAGATTTTTTTTTTTATCTGTATTTTTCCAAGTCTGTATTAGCTCTTATTTTGGAACTCTGTATAATGAATTGACTGGAACTAGAAGCTTTCACTGTTCTTGGCAGTCTTAGAGTTCTACTTACTGTTGGTTATTCTAGCAAATGTTTTTAATCGGTCTTTGGTTACTGTCACATTAAGCAATAAAATTAATAAGAAATGCATTATTGTGAATATTTATGGCCTTCCAAATTTCCAGAAAAGGAAGTAAAAAGGTGCATATATATATATATATATATATATATATTATTTTTTTTTTTGTAGATTTAGAAATGGTCAGCACAAAACAGCCTCACTATTTGTGGACCAACAATTAGGGAGGCCAGTGGCAGCTTATACTTATTAATAGCTACATGTTCTGCATACTAGCTGTGTGGCCAGTATGCAGAAGATGTGACCACAGCAAATGTTCAGAACTTTGTCCAGCAAGAAGGGGTAGATGTTTTTAATCATTAAAAAAGTCACTATAGAAATAATTTGGTATTGATTGTTGTAATTGCTGTGCTGTGATTTTTTTTTTTTTTTTTTTTTTTAATTTTTTGGCACCCTCCGGTGATCCCTCAGAGAAAATGAGTCAACATTTTGCTTCTGATACACGGCAAAAATTTGCCAAATTGAGTGACAGTGTTGCTCAATTAGGAACAGTGAGGTAAATGAGACTGTTTACTGCATCACGATTCTAAATTAAAGGAAGTAGTGATGAGATTAGGTTTCTGTGTGTTTAAAAGAGAGAGGAAAAAAAAAAAGGTGAACAATTGAATTCCAGAATTGAAAACCGAACAAATACTTAAAAAATAATTCCATGAATAGTTGACTCTTTGGCTACAGCACTTTAGATTTCTTGTTAAAATGCGTCTTTATGCTGACTTTCAGTGCGTAATTCACATGTTAGCATGCAGGTCAAGGTGTGTCTCGTTGCTGCTTTGTGTTCTGTCTGTGTTGAGAAATGTCATCCTGGAGCAGCTTTAGGATTGTGAGATGAGATTATAACTTATCAAAGGCGCTCAGATGGCTCAATATAGTCCAGCGACCCATATTCCAGATCAAGCCAGAAAACTACTGCCTTGTCTTTGGAGTCATATTTGGTAATGGCAACTATTACACACATTATTATTATATACTATGTAAATAGAACCGTAAAGGTACTGAAGGTTTAGAGTTTTCTTGTAAACAAATGTGATTTTTGTATTTGGAATTGGTTATTGCTCCTCAAGTTTTCTGCAACCAAGACTCCACAATTTAACTTTAAAATGCAGGAGTCAAAGTGCAGATGGTGACGTCAGCCTGATGAATGCTGAACTTTGTAATCAGCATCTGAGTTGTTATGAATGGATGAGTTTTAAAAGTCTTCCAGTGGTCATTTAAAACTTCGGGAAAAATGTGTAACGAATTTGGGTACAAACGGTTTAAAGTTTTCTGATCTGTAACTGGAACTCCCCACTAACGTTTTTTGCTAGTTCATCTCTGTATGCACACCATAAAAATTTGCTGTATTTTTTTAGATCCGCAGCATCCAAGCATTGGAGATTTTGTAAGTAGAAATCTCTGCGGTACCTCATTGTTGTTATTTACTATTTTTCAAACCATGGATTTTTCAGTTGGTGAGCTGGTCCACAATCTCAGAAGTAGATTTGGTGCTCCTGCCATTTGTATCTCAATCTTGTATCATTTGGTAACTTGCCCAGCCTTTGTTGACGCACGCAATTGGCACAAACACTTTATATTACCACCTTTTGTCTCTTTTATTAGTTTCCTTTGTGTATTTGCACTTTTGATTCTCACTGAAATCGCAGGGAAAAAGTGTTTTTTGTTTAACATATAATTGGGCAGTCTTTTTTTTTTTTTTTTCTTTTCCTATTTTGTGAAAACTGATTAAAAGTGGACGTAGGCCAATTATGTGAGGGTAGAACAGACCTTTGTTTAAATGTTTTCAACCTTTTAATTCCCATTTCTAAGGTGCTGAGCCCTGGTCTCTTTCAGTGTATTCCAGAGATGGATCAGTCTTTGCCCTCCCCCTCTAAGCTCTATCAGAAGCCTTTGATCGTTACACTGTTTATCTGTGCTCACTCAGAGGCAGCAAAGCAGTGTGATAAGTGGGCTTTGCCATGTGCAAGTGCATGTGTTGTGGGTGTTCGTCTGTTCATGGACATAGAGGGTGGGGGTTACATGTTCCCATACCTCCCTCTCTCAAACCCAGTTTACACAGACAAAAAAAAGGCAGTACAGCAAGTTCCCTGCAGGAAGATTACCTCTTGTGCTTTAGGGCTACAGAGAGCTAACCTGCTGTTCTGAATAGGGATTGGAAAGAGACTGCCCATTTATGACAATGTCAGCAAAATAAGCTTGGCATTTAAAAGCAACACTGACAATTACACTTATATTTTTATTCAAATATCTTAAAACTCTTATACTTTCAGAAATATAAATGAGGAAATGTTCTTGTAAAAATAATTCATATAGACTTGTACACCACAAGCTCTAAGGGCTATTGCACAGCAGTTATAATAAGCTCTGTCAAAAGTTACACCCGCTCACAACATAACATACTTGGCTGCCAGTAAGTAGATCTAATCAAGATGCAAAATAAGTAGACA